ACCCTCGAACTTATTTTATAAATAATTTTCTACCAATTTTTGGCCCACGTGGCACTATCTTCTGGGTCCAATGCGTGTTGACAATTTTTTCAAGCTATCTGATTGATAGTGTCCGTAGGCCGAAAAGGGGTAGAAAATTATTTATAAAATAAGTTCGGGGGTAATAGGACCTTAGTAAAGGTTAGGTGTGTCTCAGAGGGCATAGTCTAGGGGGGTACTTATGCATTTTTCCATTTTAGGGTGTTATTTATTTCATTGAAAAATAGTTCAATGGGGTAATAGGTCCCCTGTGAAGTATAAGTGTGCAGTTGGGAATTTGATACTAGGTTGGGGGTCATTTGGCTATTTTCTCAATAAATTATGATAAAAGTAAATTGGAATTGATTGCGGATTTCGTCAAGGATTTGATCCTACGAGGTATGTGAGACTTTCATAACGTTGGGTTCGTTCACCCACGTGCCAAACATGTTTATTTTAGCGTGAATTCTTCCTAAAAAGATCGGAAGTTTGAATGTTCTTGATGGGTGTTCTTGAATTGCTTTTATTCTTGAATTTGGATTGAGATTGAGGAGTTCTTGAGAGTTTAATGTCGATTATTAGAGTTACTTTGAGTTAGATTCTTGTGTATATGTTTTTATTTAAAAAGGTTATACTAATTTATTCTCCTTAACCCCATTTAAATAGAAGAAATCAAGAAAACATTGTTTTATCTTCTTACATTTTTTTCGCTAACACTCACATTATTTATCTTTCTTCACTCCTTTTGCACTTTCTTTCTTCAAAATTTTGTAACTCTATCAAAAATATCAATCAATACTGGGAAAAGGTACAAGTACCCCCTTAAACTATGACCGAAATCTCAGAGACACACCTTAACTAAACTAAGGTCCTATTACCCCCCTAACCCATTTTTTTTTTTGTAAATTTGTACATCTTTTTGGCTTACATGGCATCCAAGTATTTCCCATGTGCCTCAATTGCGTGGAGTCATGGAGTATACCACGTAAGACAAAAGGTGTACAAAATTACAAAAAAAATTAGTTCATAGGGTAATAGGACCTTAGTTTAGTTAAGGTGCATCTCTGAGATTTCAGTCATAGTTTAGGGGGTACTTATGCCTTATCCCATCAATAGTCAAATAGTATTGAACAAAGTAAAATATTATTTTTTGTTTCTTCTTAAGTTTTCAAGCATTACAACAAATATATTAAAGTAGGGTATACCAATTTATCAAATTCTTGAATCAGATTTTATGGTTCTAACTTATGTTTATTTAAAGTTTATCAACTTATAATTAATAGAATTATGTTCATAATTCATATAATGATTGCCTTATTAAAAATGTATTTTTCAACATTGAATTGTTGAAATCTTATCTAAAACTAATAATTTCAAAAAAGGTATTCAAAGAAATCAATTATAAAAAAGATATTGAGTAATAATTTGCATCTAAAAAGTTAGAAAAATAAATAAATACATATGAAGTTCGTTTATATTTTAGGCATCTGATTGAAACTTTGCTTTAAGCCTCCAATTATTTTGAGCCGCTCCTAACTCTGTCATTGATTGTAACATACTCACTTTTGAACCACAATGAAAAGATGCAAATAAGAAGACAAAGAAAGAAAAAGTAGAATAAAAGTTAAAATCAAGATATTCATTCAAGATAACCTAGTAAATGTGTATACAAATACTAAAGAGAGTCAAAAAATAATCTAACATACTCAACTTGCGACAACTATAAATGTGACTAGCATTAGAGACTAAAAAGTAAATAAAAACTCAAATGATAATTGACAAACTTAGAACAGTAAACACATAAAGTGCAAATCAAATAGAAATATCTAATTAATCATATATATATATATATATATATATATAAAAAAAAAACCTTAGTCCTGCCTACGTGGAGCCACCACAGATCAGGTGTCCTTTTTAATTTATTTATTTCCAAAAATAGTCTTTCCCTTTCATAAAAAGTTGTGGCAAAAATAGCCTTTAATTTTTTAACAGTTGCGACTTTTATGAAAGATTGTGACGTTTATGAAAGGTTGTGACCTTTTCGAAGGGCTGTG